TCTCATCATTGATGTTTCTATCTCTCTATCCCTCTCCCTTCTTTCTGAAATTAATAAAAAAATATTCAAAACATAAATAAATTTTAAAAATACATGTTTAAAAAAATGACACAGACAATAGTATGGTAATTGCCAGAGTGAAAGAGGTTGGGGTTGGGGGTAGAAGAGGGTTAAGAGGAGATAAATGGTTATGGAAGGAGACTTGACTTGGGGTTGTGAACACACAATACAATATACAGATAATATATTATAGAATTGTATACTTAAAATCTATATAATTTTATTAACCAATGTCCCCAATAAATGACCCCAATAAATTCAATTACATTTTTTAAAAAAGGGGAGAAAAAAGAAATCAAGAAATCCTACAAGGATTTTGGTGGTCATGTGGGTCAGAAGCAACACCATTGGAGAACTGAGGGGACCTTTCCATGAATTCCAAAGCTGCGAGGCTAAAAACTAAGCTAAAATCTTGGCAAAGCAGTTTCCCACAGCATAGGAGACAAGGGCCAAAGGGAGGAGAGAACCTGCTAACAACTGGTGAAATTCTGAAGCCCTAGATTAATTGTTTATTGAACTTGATGATCCTGATCCACAGCTCTTTTGTTCTGTGCTAGGGAGACCTGCTCCCCAGGGACACCAAGAGTGGAGAATCCCAGAGACACCAAGAGAAGAGGATTATTGCTAGGGGACAGAGAAACAAGATCTCCAACTCTCAGTACTTCCCTTGATGGAGTAAATGACCAGAGGGGACAAAATGGAGGTAGGTGTTGATAATGTTTCTATTTCATGGTCCGGGTGTGTTCATTTTCTAAAACTTCATTGTCTTGCACACTTTGGATGCATGCACTTTAGTGTATGTATATTATATTTCAATTAAAATGTTCAAAAAATTAAGTCCTTTAGTTAATCATCCCCAACTCCTCCTCAAACCATAAATTCGATTAGTGTCCAAGGCAAAACAGTTCATTCTTTTGCTTACTTGACCCCCAGTAACCCATACCTTCAAGGTCTCACGATCTACCTCAAGCTACTTACTAGTTTAATTTCCTAAATAAAGTTTCTCCCTTAAAATGAATTCTAACTTTAATTATGAGGTGGTTTATTTTCACCTCTCTTCAGAAGTAGTGGCCCCATTGCCTTCTGTACAGGTCAGATTAGCCGAGTATCATGTTTAAAGGAGGTTACAGACAGATTGGAACGTGTCCAGGGAGGGCAAGTGAAATAATAAATATATGGGAATTAGGTTGAAGGGACTGGGGATTTTCAAACTGAAAAGTAACAGACTGGAGTCAGAAGAACAGTGCAATCCTGGCTTTCAAATCCATAACATGTTTTGTGGTAGAACGATCTGTTTTATTTGAGGATTTTGAAGGCAGAACAGGGACAAAGGGTGGACCCTTATGGAAAGTGAATGCTTTCCTTTGAATGCTCAGTTATCTATTGAGTGGTGTGTTCTTCACTCCACAAACATTTATTGAATGATAAATATGTTACAGGCTCTGCAGCCAAGGAATGCTTAGTCTACTGCTGAAGACAGGTGTATATAAGTATAAAATTAGGTAGAAATCCAATTCATGGCATCACAAGGTGATGTTGGAGCTCAGAGGAAAGAGGAATGGGTGAGGAGCAGGACGTAAGGAGATGAATTGCAAAGCAGGACTCAGTCTTCTGACTCACAGCTCTCCATCTCATCTTTATCATGGAAATGAGCAACATCACCATCCACTCATTTACTCAAGCTCATAGCCTGAGAGCACACAACAACCTCACCCTCTCCCTCATCCGCAAACCCAAACCCAGTCAGCCTCTCAATTCTATCAGTCTTGGCACAAAACATTTCTCAAAGAGATCTCTTCATTCTTGTCACTACAACCAAGTTTAGACTCTCAGATCCCTTGCCTGAATCATTTGGTGACATCTAACTGCTCTCCTGCCACCAGGCCTGGCCGCCTCAAATCTGACATCACACAGGCCTTAAGGTTACTTTTCTGAAATAAAAATTGGGTCATGCAAATGTCCTGAGCAAAGTCCTTCATAGGCTCACGGCATGAAGAAAAGACTTCCACCCTGTGGCGTGGGATTTGAGGCCCTTTCCTCTTTGGCTCCTGCCCACCCATCCAGCTCATCTCAGACCAGCTTCCCGTTTGGACATGCCCTACATTCCAGTGGTCACCGACTCATGTGAGTGACCCTGTCACTCCTCACTGCGGCACACCTCCACGTGTGTGTTCACCATGCTCCTTTAATTTGAAAGTCTCTCCCTCAGCTCATCCCCCTGGAAATGCTACTCATCCTCCATGCATCAGCTTTAACATCAATTCTATGAAGTCTTCCCTGACTCCAACACTTGAAAGATAGACACCTTCTTCATTTGTACATTTACTTTCTTTCTGCAGATCTCTAAGATTACCTGGTTTTCCCTCTCTTCTTGACAGGCTGTGAGCTCCTGAGGAGTATGAACAAGGTTAGACAACATAGTGGACTCTAACGTCAGGCTGCCTGGATTTAAATTCTGGCTCCATTTCCAATGAGCTGCATATCTTTGGCGTCTTTGCCTGTTTGAGCCTCAGTTTCTTCGTTAGCAAAGTGGAGATGATGGTACCTACCTCGTAGGGTTGTTGTAAGAATCGAAAGAGTTATTTCCTGGAGAGTGCTTAGAGCAGAGCCTGGAACATAGTAATTCCTTAGCAAATGAGATCTGTTATTATTTACTGTTACTACTATAATCTCTGCATGGGAGATGCATAGCTCATTAGATATTATATAGTAGCTCTTCCATAAATATTGAATGTATTTTTCCAACTGTTTACATTGCAAAAAAAACTTAACATTGAACACACACACACACACACACACACACACAGTGCTCTGAGAACTAGAATCTGAGAAAGTTATGATTACATCTAGTGGTCTATTTCAGGTCCTCAAAAGGGACATTTTTCCTCACAGTCTAGTCTCCTTGTTTTGCAATCTTCTTCTTATCCTGCACAGGGCATTCTTTGGAGAAATTTAGTGCTTTAAGCTAAAGAGCTATGGAGCTCCCTCAGGGACATTTATCTATAAAATAATAGCTGTAGGAGGAAACTTGGAGATGACAGCCTTAGACAGCCATTTGACTGCTCTGTTTAGGAGTGAGTTTTCCTATAATTTATGCTAAATAATCTCTATGCTCTGATATGAAGCCTAAAAACTGTCATTCAAGCAAAACCATGAGCTTCCACAACATTAGAATTTGATACGAAAGGTCATGTAATGCAGTCTTCATAATGGCACCATTCCTTACTGGCTGTTGTCACCTTGTCACACAAAGACCTTCTAAGACTACTTAACCAGTAAACTGTGTTTTCTTGTTTTAAACCCTGGATTCTGAAAAATTTTATTTGAGGTACAGAGTGCTTCTTTCTTTATATTTCTAAGGAAGCTTTCATAAGATGATGGCCAAATTATTTGAAAGATGTTTTCCTGTGGTGATGTCATTTCGAAGGGAAAACATACTTGGGATATGAAGTATTCCCATCAGAAATCTCTGAGATCTTACATCTGTACTCTTAAGCCCAAGAGGTTATCAAATGATAGTAGATGATTGTAAAAGGGATGACTTCTAATGGGGTGTTGGCAGGCAGGCTGGCCAACAGTCACAGGTCACTGCGCAAATATTTATGGAGGAAGCAAAGGCTTCATTTTTGCTTTCACTATCAGACAGCTTTCCTAAACGTACAAAGAAAGACGAATACTCAGGACTGTGATACCCTGTGCATGAGAAAAATACAGAAACCAATAGCCCTGTTGGAAGAGTCTTACATGGTGTAACTTTCTAATAGGTAAAGTTGTCTGATAGTATTTATGCAAATTTTGCATATCATCACTAAATATTTTCTACTTTTTCTATCAATTGAGAAAAGAGTGTTAAAATTTGCAATGATGATCATGGATATTTCAGTTGTCTGTTTAGTTCTGTCAGTTTTTGCATTACGTATACCAAAGCCTTGATATTAGGTATATACCCACTTCGGATTGTTATGCTGTGGAGTAGCTGCTTTTGTCATTATTATATGCTCCTATTTGTTAATAATTAATATGATAGGGTTTATTTCCACCTTCCTGGTGTTACATTCTGTTTATTTCACCTGTTCTTATTTCTTGCTTCTTCCTTTCTTATCTTTTTTTGGGATGAATTAAATACACTTTAGTATTATTTAACCTTCTTAGCTTTTCAGAGATAGCCCTGTGAATTTCTCTCTCTCTCTCTCTCTCTCTCTCTCTCTCTCTCTCATAATTGTTCTAGATATTAAAATATGAATCCTTAACTTACCACTGTCTACTTTAAGTTACTATTGAGGCACTTTATAATCTAAGAACCTTAAAACAATGTAATTTATTTAACACTTCTCTCCTCCTTTGTGCCATAGTTGTCCTATAACTCCCACGATGCACTGTTATTATCTTTTGCTTTAAATAATTGTCTTTCAAAAATACTAATAAAAAAAGAAAAAGTCTTTTATACTTACATATTTCTATTCTAGTGCCTTTTATTTCTTCCCGTATATTCAAATTTCCTTCTGGTATCATTTCCTTCTACTTACAGCACTGGCAATGAATTTTCTTAACTTCCTTTTGTCTGAAACAGTTATTATTTTAATTTTTGAAAGAAGTTTTTACTGGTTATAGCTTTCTAGGTTGATAGTTTCTTTTTTCTTTCTAAATTTTAAAGACTGTTTTCTGGCCTCTATGATTACTGATGAGAAGTCAGACATTATTCTTATATTGTTCCTTTATACAATTTATCTCTTTTGGGCTTCTTTTAAGTTTTTTCTCTATATCTTGGATTTTCAGCCATTTTGTCATGATATACCTAGTTTTGTTTTTCTATGTGTTTACTCTGCTTGGAGTTTAAGGTCCTGGATCAGTGAATTTTTAAATTAAATTTGGGGAAATATCAAATACATTTCTGCCCCATCTTTTTCTCTGTCCTTCCTAACATTCTAATTACATAAAAGTTTGTTTGATTTTTTATCATAAGTCATTGAGGCTCTTTTCCTTTATTTTTCAATCTTTTTTTCCTTTATGTGCTTTGGTGTAAATATCTATTTATCTGACTTCTAGTTCACTGCTACTTTATAATGCAGCTTTTACTAATCTCATTAATAAAATTTTGTTTTCAGATATGTTATTTTTCAGTTCTAAGATTTATAATTGTTACATTCGGAGTTTTTATGTCTCTCCTAAAGTTTCTTATCTCTTAATTCTCCCATCTTTTCCTGTAAATTTCTTAGCATATTTATCATAATTATTTTAATGTTCTTATCTGTTAATTTCAACATCTGTATCATCCATTGGTCTCCTTCTGTAGACTATATTTTCTCTTGAATTATAGGTCACATTTTCCAGCTTCCTTGCTTGTCTAATAATTTATTTCAAATTTGACAATATGTTTTATTGTTGAAGATGCACCATAGAGTTTCTGGATACTGTTATTCATTTTAAAAGAGTGTTAAATTTTGTTTTAGCATATACTAACTTACTGATAGATTATCTCATGTCTACAGAGGCTTGGTTTAGGGCTTTATTAGAGAGGGTTTATTTTGGCTCTGCTTTAGTCATAAGAATAGATAGCCCTTAGTTCTAGGGTATGACCCTGACTTCTAAGGCTGGGCCCTTTTGAGGTTTTAAGCCTGTGGTGTTTACCAATTCCTTCTAACTTGGTAGAATTTGAACTCCAAACTGTCTTTTCAGTACTTCATCTGCTGACATCTCCACTCAGCTCTTTTACCTCTATTCGTTTGTTCTACTGATTTCTGCTTGGGATCTTGCCCAGCCATTTATAATTTTAGAGACATGCAAGAATTTGAGAGAAAATATGATGTAGATATGTCCTCCTTTCTCCATGACAACTCCACTTCAGGGTATCCCCTTAATTCCCAGCCATGCTGTCAGCCCAAAATCCACCCTCTAACTTCTGAGTTCAAAAAGACTCATTCTTTCTTTTTGAGTGCTACCCCTTATTCTCATGCAAATTAGAGAGTTCTGGCAGGAGAAAAGTTGAGTAAATAGGAATCTAATCTGATTTGCATCCCGTCTCTCAAAGGCCATATCTACTCTTATGTCTGCCTGCTTTGGGCTTATGTCTATTGCCTTCCAAGAGACCCCCACCCCCTAAAATCTATAGTTATCACCAGCAAGAGGATTAGTCCAATACAATGTACTCTGCATTACCAGAACTGAAACTCCTCTAACTACCTGGTTATTTAAGACACACTTTGTAAATAAATAAATGAGAAGGCTTATTCAGGAGTTACCTCTAATACTACAATTGTGGTTCTTGGTTTATTTTTTAACACATGTCTCCATAAACATTACATAACTTCCTCTGAGTCATTTCAAATCATTAAAAATCTCACAATGAAGTGTAAACACAGATTCGTTTTGAAGAAGTGCAGAACCTCATTCAATATGCCAGCCTTCACTGCCCTGAGTTCAGTTTATGTATCAGGGGAAACACGAGCGATTTTCCCATTGACTGAGAAAGCCCCACCACCATGTTCCTCAGCATGTCGATTATGCAAACCTCCGAGGCACATGCACCTGCCCATAATTTATTCTACACTTACCTCACTTATTTAAGTTTACACAAAGCACCGACAAGTCATGTTATCTGTTTTTCCCCAGAAAGTTCCGTTTTTGCATAACTTGTCTTTTTTTAAGCCAAAACATTAATTCACCTTTTAAAGTTTAGTCATCCCATAGCTTGAGTCCTTGCCATGCCAACAAGGACAAGCAGAGAAAAAAAAACAGCCTGGGAGTGAGATTATTGAACTTTTGCCTCAGCTGGATTCTGCTTCTTATGTTGGCCATTTTGGATTTTTAAATTTCACTAGTGCAGTGAGTTATGAATTTGTGTCTCTCCATGCAAGGAACTATTGTAAGTATTTACTCCTGCTACTGTATTTCATTCTTACGATAGGCACAGTTTACAATTGAGAAAGTGGGCACAGAGATTCATTTATTTACCCATGATCACGCCCCAAAATGATTATACCCAAGTGTGTTATTTCACTTGAAATCAAAGGGCCAAGCTGTGATTTGAATCAATGGTCTGCTCTTCTTCTTATCTATTGGACTTTGCTGATTCTCATGTCCTGTTAATGCCTTTACTCCATTTGTAATCTTCTTTTAAATCCTACCCAAGGATATTTTTTTTATTGATTTTAGAGAGAGAGGGAAAAA